GTCTGTCGCTCGCGTCAGATTTATGCGCTCGCGCGGGAGGTGTTCCTGTCTCAGAAGGATCGCGGGACGCTAGCGTTCATGTACTTCCCCTAAGGTCTGCCGCTCGCGTCAGATTTATGCGCTCGCGCGGGTGGGTGCTCCGCGTTCTGTCAGGTGCGGACAAACCAAGGATCTCATGCCTTTATTTGAACTCCGGACACAAAGTCAAATAATATAAAGGTACGTATCGGCTAGATCTACTACTGTAGAATGTGCACACAATGGTTTACTTAGTATTAGATAGGATCAAACTAAGCTACGTTCACCTTTGGACCAACTGCACTACTTATGATATGCCTTACTAATCAATATGCAACAAATAAATAACCTAAGCCAAAAGACGCAAGGAAATCAGAAAAAGGAAGCGAACAGGAGTTAGACAAGCCGATGGACAAAGTGGGAGGTATGAAGAGCAGTAAGGTGACGTTTGAGCAAGGCGCGAAAATGAAGATGGGTGGCTGCTGGGTTAGTAGAAACTTCATGGTAGACACTGCTTGCATGTGGGCAATCCATAATATATACACCACATGCCAACCTTATTGTGTTCATTGTTTTTTTGCTTTGCTTCTAGTTCGAATTTACTATTTTTATATTCAAAGTCAACAGCATTACTGTTATGAGTGCCTCATCTAAAATTTTTCTGTTTATTAACCTGCATTTCTAGACATTAAGGGAGAGGGAGGGAGGGTATAAGGTAAGTGCTAAGGTAAGTCTGGGAAAGGGGGATTTGACTTTTCCTGTTTTATTAACCTGCATTTCTAGAAATTTAAGAGAGGGTATAATGAATTAGAACCCTAGCCTGTGGCATAATCATAATAACTTTTTTCTCTACTTGGAATAAACAATTCTTCTTTGTTCCAACTCTAATAAAACAGTGTGTTGATGCAGAGACATGTAATTGCAGTTACTATGTATTAGCATTATTGCTTAGGTTGTAAGTATCTAATGTCTTGCGTTGGCCATAAAGCAAGATGTCTCAAAAAACCATTATTCAACAGCATAAATTAATAGATGCCCAGAATTGTTGCACAGCAACCATCTCACACTGAAAAACATCTTGAGCCATTCAGATTACGTATCTCTCCAGATTTCTCTAAAAAGACTTTTGTATTGCATTCACAGACTTGTCAATAGATTGAAAGGAAAAGTGTCAATGTTTTCCCTTTGTAATAGTAATAGCAGTGATTCCAAATTTAACAAATCTTTATTTGGTTCTCAGTCTTTTTGGTATATGCAGAACCTCACGGACAGTAACTTTTCCTTCAGGACGGGTGACATGCCGATCAATTTCTGCAAGTAATGCTTCTTGCTTTGTCAATTCATCCTGCAACACCATGTATAGAGGTTAACAAAACGCATGTATATGTATAACTTTTGTACAAACTTCACTTAAACACATACATGCACTATTGCCATCATACGTAATACAGCCTTCATCTGCATTCTTCCATTATAACTGAATGGGACTATTGCTGTGGCCAACTCTGTTGCCAAAAATTGGCCATCCTTAAGCATCCTCAGTGAATATAGTGTGATGCGTGTATCTAGAAAGAGAATATTTAGTGTGGAATGAGTACATCAGAACTAATTACACTACAAAATTGATAACCTTACATACCAATGCCTAGCATTGAGAAAACCTTTATCTTGCTTGCAAGAGCAACATCACAGTCTAGTCTATCTTCCAAAATTCGCAAAAGGTTGAGGGCGTCTGTACGCAGTGTTTTCTTAGAATCCTCAAGTATTAGAGGTCCAGCAATCTCAAGATGCCAGACCTCCAATCCATCCAGCATCCGTGTACCTTTAGCATCAGCTAGTATGATTTCAGAGTCTTCTTGTGATTTCATCATTTTGGCTGAGCTCATGTTTGTTTCAGCCCAATCAAAATCGATTGTACTGAAGGTTCGCTCATAGAATTTGAACAATGGAACTACATGATATGTTAAATATTTTCGTTCTCCAATTGCGCGGCTCAAATTGGGAGATATATCGACCATATTGAAACTTGCATTTAATAGATGAGTTATTAATATGCTGGAAAGCATAATCCAAACAATATTATTACATACAAATCGTCCAAGACCTTCTTGCAATACAACTTAAAGAGGTTTTCGTCATTGTTGTTATTTTCGAAAGCTGTGCTCTTGGTCTGTGGTGTAAAACATAGATTCATATTACTATTACTATATGTATGTATACCTGGAAAACTACTGAAGAGTACAGTACCTGCAGAGCACTCTCAACATATTTCTCTACAGCTGTCCATATATTAGGGCTGGTACTCCGTGCTGATATAATATCCTTTGCTGTCTCTTCACCTACTCTTGCCACTAGTTCCTCTGGTGTCATACTATCAGCTGTGATGATGTACACATCATCTATATATCTGTTAGACAAAGTCAGATAAACTGTGTATTAGTATTACTTCTTTCAATAATGAGTATATATGACAAGCGCTATAAACGCACAATTGAATGTTTTGGTCTGCTATCACTCGCTTATTTGGGATCAGTAATTGATCAGCATCAAGTGAAGGAGTAGAAATGCTGTCTGGAGGTTCGTCCTCATGCTCTTCCTCAAGTTTGTCTTGTGCTTCCTGCAGTTTTGCACCGTCCTCATGCTCTTCCTCAAATTTGTCTTGTGCTTCCTCACCATCCTCAGGATTCCAGTTGTCAAGAGCTACAGCGACATGTGAACCGCTCACCAGTTTGGCATTTATCAAGAGTTCCTTCTAAAGACAAGAACGTGATCGATGCCAATCTAAACCGATTCAAGCAGTAAAAACCAATCAGACTATATATACCTTCAATCTAACAATGCGGTCCTCGGTAGTCTTGACTTTTATGACATGTTTTGCAATCTCTTTAAAATGTTCCTTCTTCGATGTCTAATTATATAAAAATAAAATAAGCAAAAGTACCAGTATTTGAGATGAAAATTGTCACCTAAACACTTACAGTAGCTGCTTTATGAAGTTCCCTGCAATATTCTCGAACTTCCTCTGGCACGGCTGATTCATTGCTAAGAGCGACTAAGGAGCCACAATATCGTGATAATATGCTGTTAATGATATTCGATGGTTGTTTTTTGACAAAGGTGGCGAAGTCATGCCAATGCTTCACAGGCGTTTTTTTGAAGTATTCATCAACCTTTTGGAGATATTCTGGTGCAGCATACATTGAATCCATCAGTTCCACTTTGTAAGTTGCCGGAAAACCAAACGAAATTGGAAACTCAGAAGAAGGCGAACGAGGGTGTCGATGTGTGACTATGGATGCCCTTATTTTATAAACTACTATCGCAAGTGACTTTTATTCACTATTTTATAAAACTACTATCGTGGGGACTTTTATCATTTTATACAACTACGACTTATAAAATTACTATCTTGGGGACTTTTATCATTTTATACAACTAGGGACTTTTGCAGGAGCGTGACTTCTGTATTACATCTCTGGCCAGTTAAAATATTTGGATCTCTAAATAGAGTAATACATTTACCTTTATTATTATTATTATGCAGATAATCTGCAATTAAGCATACGCGCATAAATAATACCCTACCGTTGTACTATTAATGATGATGTTATCTATCAACCGGAAAGACTTATTGCCTTCATAGTAACAGAAGTAATAAAATCTAAACAAGAATTTAATGCAAGATTTTTTGATATAGAATTAGCATTTCTGTTTGATTCGATGTCAAAGATTAATCGTACACCTCGTTTACTTCGGCCAAAAACAATGACTTATTGGACAAACATATTTCCATATCTTAATGACAAGAGCGAGTATAATGGTTTTAAATCTCATTTTCGCATTTTGCGATCTACGTTCAATCGACTGCTTAGTATCCTACAGCAACATCCTAACACCCTTTCGACCTCAAACTCCTATTGAAATTCAAGTTGGCATTGTGATTCAATAACCCTCGCCAACTAATTGCACATTTTACTAAATGATTTATTGAAGCCATTCTGGACACCCTCTAATATTCTTATCATCGTTTGTATCAATCAAACCCGCATATGTTGTGGTGTTTGTATAATAAAGGATAAGTTTTTTTTTGCTTCTTACGCATTGCAATGAATATGAAAAAAAAAGAAAGAAAAAAAGATTTCTTGACTCAATAAATAATGTATGTTCTACCCTATATCAAGTGCTTGTCTTCCCGTTCGCACAGAAATAATTGTTTCCTCCGAGTTGCTCGAGTCTTCTTCAACAAGTTGCTGCAGTACACCTTCAGCCATCAGAAATTTTTCGAATATATTTTCTTCTGTTGGTAACTCTGTTCTAACCAAGTTGTTATCCACTTCAAGGTACTCATCCGCTGTTACACGTATATCTACCGAAGGATCTGCAAGCTTCAGATTATTATTATGTGCCTAATAAACCTCAGATTATTATTATTATTTAGTATTAGAGCTAAAATTAAGTCGTTCATACAATCATCCGCTTCATTCATATTCATTTCATTTTCAATGGTTTCCACAGGTAAAATGCCCGTATTTTGCCTGCAGTTTTTTATAGTGGTTGGTTTGACTTTTTCCCAAGCATCTGCAAGAAGTTCTATTGCCTCTTTGATGTTCAGTTTCTTTATCGCTTGCTCTTCGTTTAATTCGTAAACCCATTTAGACACCAAAGATTTCGATAGTGAGCTTTAAAATTACGGGGGAATATGTTCTACGCATAGGTTTTTTAGATTGAGCGAAGAACCATTCGTATGCGCAGGACAATTATTAACAAGCAGAAGCGATTTCTGAGATACGTTATTGTCCAACCACTTTAACATTCGTTCCATTTTTCCATGGTCATCCATTATTGGAGTATTGGACAGGCAGCGTAGCTAAGTTGACATTTTTAAAACAACGAGGATTTTTAAATTTGCCTATTACAAAAGGTTTAAGTTTCGTCGCTCCCGTTGCATTACAACAAAGTAGAACTGTAACACGTTCTTTGTCTTTCTTTATGCCTTTTGCTTTATCGCTTCTTGTTGCAAGAGTTCTATATTATACCGTTTTTGAAACTTCTTCAACCATCATTTGATGCCTCAAAAGGAGAAAGTTGTGCTCTAATTTCTTTCGCTCTATTATAAAATTCGATTGCCTTGGTTTTTAATATGTCTTGGGAAACGGGAATATCCTACTGCGTAAACCTTGGAACTATTTGTATAGTGCCTCTTCTAAAGAAGGAAATCTCGCTACACGAATACGCGCTTTCTTCAAATCTGAACATCTTGCGTTTGTAAGAGCTTTTCTTTTTTTCGAAGAATGATACTTATTGTCACCAAATTCGTTTGCCAATTTTTCATCACTGTCTTAGGTCGGTTTCTTTTCTCTTAATGTTTATTTTATAAATTATTCTTTGCTTTTTTTTTCTGATGTTTGCGGAACTATCCATGCGAAATTTGATTTTAATGATTAATCGATAAGGATTTTTTTTTTTAATATATAGTAAATTAGGGATATGATTTGTGTAATGTTAGTACCGCATATAGTAACAGATATAACCGAGATTACTATATGATATCTGAGGTTGGGATATTAATATTAAAGGGCGGGGATTTAAAAGAGGTATGACTGTAATATTGTTTTTCTCATATATCTAATCTAGAAACATGGTGATCTCTCCAAGTCTGAGGATTTGTCAACCGCTGCCTATACTGTTTAGTATCATCTACGAAGTTTTGAACTCCATTAAAATTTCTCTCTACGCTTTTAACAAAGTTGTAATTCTTGACTTTATGCTGTTTGACGAAATGTCTTTGGCTTCAGTGAGAGCATTCTAGTTCACAGAAGGAAACTGTTCTAACTGTCTGGGAGAACTGGATCGTCTTCCCACAACCGTATATTGAATCTCTTACAAATACATTTATAAAGAATACCAAGGAAGGCAATGTTTCTGTCACTTTATCGAATTCTGATGAATTGAATAGCATGGATTTGGATGTTGGCAATGGTGAAGAACGTGCTCACGGCATTCTCCAGGTGAAGACAAAGTGGGATAACTATGACGAGGACGAAGAGAAAATGATAATGGTAATTGGAGAGATGAGACCGATAAAGATGGGACAGTGTAGGAGAATGTAGATGGAGAGATGGTTGTAGATTTAGATGACATTTTCGCATGATATTAATTTTATTGTTTTATTCGTCATGTAATGATCGAGTAGCAGAATCAGCAGTACTAGTACTAATAGTTATAGTAGTAGTGGGATAGTGGTGGTTTGATTCGTTGTTGTACATATATACACGTATAAGGATAGAAGTAATTACACAACAAATTTGCGATAAAAATAGTCGATAACCCTCTTCTAGATTCTTAGTAAATTCTCCCACGTCCGTGGCAAGAAATTGATTATCTTGCAGATAATCCATTGTGTAAGCCAGAAAATCAAAGTCAGCACCGGTTTCATAAACGCGAAACGAAAATACACAAATCCTACCTCAAATTCAGAGGCGGCAGGAAAGCAAGCCCATACTCTGTAATGTAGTCATTTAGTTCGTATGAAAAACAAGTCACTCAAATGACTAACGGGTATTTAGAAACCCCACCCAAATTTTGCTTCATCGTCTAATGATTCAAACGAGTCGTGTTTATAATATATTAATTCCTCTATAAATGTTTCCGATAACGCCATTTTATCTTTGAAAACACTGCCCGAACTATCCGACCAATCAAATTCAGGAAACGCGTGTCGCCCAACATCGGAATACATTTCTCTGAAACCTTCCTCAGGCAGTCTGGCTGTATTCAACGGTGCATAAGATCAGGATCACCCCACTTGCAAAAAGTATGCGTTTTTACATACAAACAAGAACAATAATTACCGAAAGAACGCGTGAATTTTGCTCCATCATGTCGAAAAACTGCGTGATACTACTCACTGATTCGTTGATAATGGCTTGATCCAGACTAGTAGTTCCCATTCCACAATAATCAGCGAGATTATGTGATGCCTTATCTCGTCGATAATGGCTAAACAGCAGGAGACATATCATTTGCACACACCAATTCCCGGAACTTTTTGTCAAATCAATGAATAAACAGAAACATAAGCATGCTATTGCAATCAAGTGAACAGTCGTCAAGTTACTTGTGCAATTCATTTTGTGACTTGTCAGCATTGTCGATAATCTTCAAATATTCCAGGGGGCAGTTTACAAGATGCTTGCACAGCAGAGCAGTACCGTCTTTACGCTAAGCATCCCGGTTAGGACAAATGTAGATTATTCCTTATATTCGGGTAACCTCAATTGTTATACAAGGTACACTACCTATTATATCGACTATTGCATTCCTCAGGAGTCTTGCAACTCAGAAGGCCCTATTATATAATACTAATGGTCAAACAGTATATTCATCGAGCGCCACAGACCCTTAATTTGTCCCACACACTTTAGATCCATTCAACTATGATAATATTAATATTTCCCCCTTGTATACCAAATATTAATCTATAGTTAGATTTAATAATGTCTTTTTATTTTTGCCTTCCTGCTTTCTCTATGTCCTTTCTATACTCTCCACACAATTGATCAAAAGGTTTTCGATTGAAACTTGGGCCTGGGCATTTTCTTCAAGGATGAGTTTTCAACGTAGAAATTGGAATATTGCTGTGTCTGAGATTGGGACTTGTCACCTCAGCTCCGAACCCAGACACACTCAGTTCTCAGTCTAGAACCGAGACTGCTCCCCCAACTGACAGCATATTCCTGTTTAGGTCAACAACGAACCAAAATTACCATCCATCGAATAGTAATTAGCTTTTTTATCTTGTTACAGACCATACAAATTTCCATTAAAAACCGTTCTTCAAATTGTCTCGTTCTCATCAAGAATACGGCATTTCGTTCTCAACTTCATGTGGACTAATACTAAGTTAATAGCTTGGAATTTTAATTAAACAACAACTTTATATATTTTCTTGAAACTAGTATAATCTTTTCTGTGCTTGCTTGGCTTTCTTTACATTTGTATAATAAGTCTTGGGTCTCTTTTGCTCGGTAAGTGTTATATTAACACAATTCACACACTTGATATACGCCGCAAGTTAGTCGACACATTTCTTCTCCATAGTCAACGTCTTTCTAACAATAGAAGAATTCTTACAGTTCCTATAATCGGCGGCTATAATTGTTTGCATATTGAGCTGCCCGGTCGTAATTCGCACAAAACTCGGCACATGGAATATTAAGCAAATTCTGTATTTCGAACAATGAAGTTTATCACTAAATTTTGCTATCATATAATATTGACCACATGCTTTGCAGTCCGCGATCGCAAAGTGAATTGCAAAAAAAAAGGGGGAGGAGGGATTATTCATAGACTAGATAAGATTTGCTCAATGTAATTTTACGCGCATGATAATCCATGTTATACAATTATGGCTACTATGATTTATGGACTTTGACCGACTGAGGTACTATTTTTACATCATGATTCTTTTCGACAATTATTCTTCATCAGTATCTGTCTTCACTGTCCGCACTCGCGCTGTTTCATGACTCTTTGTTGACCCCTGAGAAAGAATATGCAGACAATATTTTAATAATATTATTAATGAAAATTCAACAATAAGTACCAATGTCAACTAACCTCAATCAACATAATGCTAATGGATTGAGGATCTTTTGGACCAAACGGTTGAGAGACGAGCACCTACAAAAGAAATTTGTTGCATTAATCAATTATCTAAACAAAGTCTTACTGTCATTTCTTAGACATATTGAACACGTACCATGCTCGTCAACATCAACAGTAATCTGCTTATCGCTCAGTCTTTGCTGTACTTCTCTTAATCTTACATCCACAATATCTCTCGGTGCAAGTCGAGAAAGGCGATCGAAAATTATCTATTAACATCGTGTCATTCAGTATAAAGGTGGAATACATATTCTCGCTTGTCAACTTTAATAATATTAGTTAACGTCTTACCATATCGTCAATGCGATTTATAAATTCAGGAGGGAAATGTCTTCTGACTACATCAAACACAGCAATTTTACCCAAATCGCTCACTTTGCCGTCGCCGACCGCCGAGGTTGTTGAAGCTAAAATATCGGCCATTATAGTATTTCTAAAATCAATCTTGTGGATTTTTTTCAAAAAATTAAAAAGGAATGAGTTATTATATCAATGGTTAGCAAGTAACGTTACCACAACAACCATACCTTTCGCCCTTGTGAATCGGTGCGTCTTTTGGCTTAGGTTATTTATTTGTTGCATGTTGATTAGTAGAGCATACCATAAGAGTGCAGTAGATCTAATACGTACCATTATATTATTTGACTTTGTGTCCGGAGTTCAAATAAAGGCACAAAATCCTTGGTTGTCCGCACCTGACAGAACGCGGAGCACCCACCCGCGCGAGCGCATAAATCTGACGCGAGCGGCAGACCTTAGTGGAAGTGCATGAACGCTAGCGTCCCGCGTTCCTCTGAGACAGGAACATATATGTCCATCATCCAACATTTGGAGTAACAAATTCGCTACATCTATATTTCAAAATAAATCGATTCCCACTGTTTAAGTGTTATGTCAAACTGTATACATTTTTTGTCCGAATTTAAATACCTTTGTACACATTCTCCATCTAGTCCAGTAGTACTACAGCAAAAGGTTTCCTTCTGGTTGCTTCTGTCAATTCTCCTCCTTCCTCATATCCAACGTACCCAGGTGGCGCACCGACAAGTCGCGATACCGCGAACCTAGTAATAATAGCAGCATTAACAAACAAGCTAATCTTTTGTACTATCACGAGAAATGCATCCCGTGCTTACTTCTCCATATACTCACTCATATCGACTCTTACGATAGCAGATTCTGTATCAAACAAAACTCGGCGATAACCTTGTAGGACCCAGGAATAAGAAAGATGCAATAGGTCTGGAAGTGGCGTTTATATATGACCTGATCTGGTGCATTTGCAAAAACAGGTGATCGTCAGAAAATCGTCTTCAAAGAAATTGGGCCATTTTTCTAATCCCCCAAATATAATCAACGAGTAGACTTTATCTAATTTCTGGCGGTCTGGGACAAATTATATCGTTATAAAAATTATCGGCAAAACTTTCTTACTTCATTATACAGACATGTCTGCCTTATGACTCGTAAGTACAGATTTGACTTTCTTGCAAATCATTCCTTCGTGCTACCGAACTTGTAACTGCTGTTGTGAAAAACTTTACTATTACGTTTGAGGTCAGGAAAAAGGCACAGGGTAGGTAGCATCTCCGAGTATATATCCCACACAAAAACCAGATTTAAACCCCAAATCACCAACTACCCATTTTCACATAATACAGTAATAATAATAAGAATTCATTCATAGGATCAATAATATTCTGCGATGTCAGCTGACATGATTTGCCCACTGCACCACTAAAAACCGTAACGATATGAGAATGGTAATATATATATATATATATCAACATTCGCTACCAAGAATATTCGCATAAAACGCTTGCAAGTTCAAGTTTTGAATTAAAGAAAAGTATGTATGCAAAGGGATGTGGGTGATTTTAGCCTGCGAAGTGCGGGCTTTCTGTAGGTTAGTGAGAACATGGTTTTTAAACCTTTTAGTATTAGTGGGCGTGACGATTAATGAATAAAGTTGATTCAAAATGCGTCCACTATTTACAAGTCAAATTTCATTGTTGGACATCAATGAAGTATCAGCGCCATTGCATGTGTTTGCTGCCGAATTAGACATAGGCTGTTGCCCATTGTTTGAATTTTAACTACCTAATGAAGTAACACAAATTGTCAATCTTTTCAATATGAAACAAAGAGATTAAAAATAGAATAGCGATAGGAACCAATATTAATATTGTATCTAATACTATAGCTTTCCTAAATATGAAACGTTCTGCAGCCTTATTTCATTCTGCGAATTTACAGACCTTAGACAGGGTGCATTTGAAAGAACACATTTGCATGTATAGAAGAACGCCTACAGAATTCATATAGAACACTTTTATTCCTCTCTCTCTTATCTCGACGAAAACCATGATATCATTAAAAGTAATAAGCTTTATTAGGAAAATGTCTAACGCCAAGAAAAAGAAGAAGAAGAAGAGACAGACAGCATATTCTGCTGCTACAACACCAAAGTCAACAAGAAGCAGTCATACAGATATAACCTCGGAATTGACTTTGACAGGAAGTTGCACACTTATAGACGTTGGAAGAGTGGATGCATTTAGTACGCTGAGAGAAATAGAGTGCGAGTCGATTATGTCGAGTAAGTTTGTGTGGGAGGAGAAAGAATGTGGATAGATAGAAAAGATAGAACGACATGTCTGTGAATCGGTTGAGAATGAAGGTGGCGATAGAACTACACGCACGGAACATGATTAAAATAGCGGTCAGATAAAAATAGCAATGAAAGGAATATCGATGTGAAGGATAATGACATGGTTGGGTATATAAAACATTGCCAGATGGATTACATTTTTTTTCACAGCAATATCGATTACATTCTAAACGTTGGTACTCGAACAACCATTTTCGTTCCAACATGTTTCTGAAATCAGAATTAATATTAATACTTGTTTCTCTTCGCTGCTCCATAGTGGGAACGATATCTTCAACGACACGCCACATAAAACAAACAATACGCACACATTTATACGGTCTCTGTCCCCGCTGTCACGAACCAAAGATAGATCAAGTATGGTGTGGATTTTGCTTAACGCCGCATATTAGCTTGGGTTGGACGTCCGGAGATCGGGTATTAGATGAGTTTATTAGGAATACACAGAAAAATGTGAGAGACTATCAAGAGAAATTTTTGGAATGGGTGCCGTGGGAAAGGCTTGGTGAGATTAGAGTTCGCAAGGACAAGAATGAACACAAGTATGGAAAAGCGTTCATAAACGATAAGAACAGTGAAGGACTTGGAATCGGAAAAGCTAAAAAACATGTCGCTGTTTGGTTTGATGGTGAAAGAGACAAGCGTATTGGAGATCGAACTGCTCCTGTTAAGGTTATCTTGGAGCCATTAGATTGCGACGGTTTTTTTACATCAGAGTACCTTGAGAAGGTAATAGTAACGTGTAATCACGGTTACCTTTTAATGTTGTTACTCTCTAGATTGACTTCTGACAGCTAATTTTTTTTTTTTTTTCGCATTCAATTCAGTTAATCAAAAAGTACCCATTCATAACATCTCCCGACAACTACACGATATACGGGTTCACATATAATCCTTCTCTTCTTCACTCACTCGGCTCTTCTCTCTTATCATCATCCTCTCTTCCAAATTCCTTTCCTGTTTCTTCTTCCCCAATGCGACCAACCTATTTTCTTCTCATAAACTACCGCACTCCCATCCTAACCGAGCTCTACTCCCTCTGTCTCCACTGTCATCAACCAAAACTCGATCCTCTTTGGTGCGCCTCTAATGCCTGCGAACTTCCTAGTTTCAATTCGATCTCCTCCGATAATAGCATAATAGGCGAAATTGTTTGGGAAACACAGAGAAATGTTAAAAAACGGTCAGACATTTTCTTAGAACATGTGCCATTTAGGAGGTTTAAAAATATCCGGAAAATTGGCAAGGGGTGTTATAGTGTTATATATGAAGCGATTTGGAAGGATGGAAAGAGAAAGGCGTACGAAAAAGGGAGGACTAGTGAGACTAAGGTCGCGCTGAAGCTGTTAAAGGGAACGGGAAGTGAGGGTGTGAGCAAAGGCTTTTTTGACGAGGTGAGATGCCATATTAATGAAATGTAGGGGAAGGGAAAAAATATATGGAATTTTTGACGGTGGAATTCGGTCGGGGTAGCCTGCTGTATTGTTAATATAGTCGTAGTTTGTGATTATACGTATTCTCAGTCGTAATCGTAGTTTTTCTTGTCAGTCTTTATTATTATATATACCACCTCGCTCACGTCCCTTACCCACGTCTTTATTTTAAACAGCTCAAAACTCATTACCTACGTGCCAGTAGTGCCCACATCTACTTTCCAACACTTTACGGCATATCTCAAGATCCCACTACTGGTGAACTTATCCTTGTAACCCAACTGGCTACGAATGGCACGCTCCGTGACTATATCCGGTACGAATTCCCGACAATCTCCTGGCACACAAAGTTATCGATATTAAAAACTATAGTCTCAGGATTGAACAGCATACATGAATTGGGCATGGCACATGGAAACTTACATAGTGGAAATGTGTTAAGAAGTTATGGTTCTCGAGAATTGGGAATTGCGGGAGATTTTTTTTTGGCAGACTTTGGTGTTTGCAAAAGCTGCATATTTGAACCGGACAAGGACAAGGACAAGGACAAGAACAAGGACAAGAACAAGAACAAGAACAAGAACAATGACAATGACAATGACAATGACAATGACAATGACAATGACAGTGACAATGACAATGACAAGGACAATGACAAGGACAATGACAATGACAATGACAATGACAATGACAAGGACAATATGGGACAATTGATAGAAGATGAAATTGGAACCGAATCTAAATGTGAAGATCCAAATAAGGACGAACATTCAGATGATGTTGATAGTAATAAAGATTGTACGAACGACACAATGCCCCCGCCTCCTTCACCTGTAAAAGGCGTTCTACCCTACCTGTCGCCTGAAAGTCTACATTCTTTTCCGCCTACGCCTTCCTCCGACATTTACAGCCTAGGTATTCTGATGAGCGAACTAATGACTGGTACTTTCGCCTTTTCTTGTCGGGCGCATGATCACGATCTCGCCCGCGATGTCTGCCTTGGCCTTCGCCCTAAATTGGATGAAGATATAATACCGAGAAAGTACGTTGAGGTGGTCAAACAATGTTTAAATGCGCAGAGTGAAGAGAGACCGAGTGCAAAGAGTTTGTGTGATATCTTTGAGGATTGGAGCAAAGATGAAGTCATGTATGAGGTGTTTTTGAACATGGAGAGAAAGGCGAAAAGGCAAGACAAAGATGGTAGTGTTGATAACAGTAAACAATCGGATGACAACAATAAAGGCGGGCATGCAATGCACGATGAAGAGGTTTATCATTCCCGGGCGTTCACATTTCGTGGATTGCCTACTCCAGTTAATGACGGCCTGACGGATATAGATGTAAAGGACAATCAAGTTGCTTAAAATACAAAGCAAATTTTTGTAAATTTATTCGTAGAGTATCTATTACATAGACATATTAATTTGAACAGCTTTCAATAGGGGGTAGCTTATAAAATACTAGGGCTAGTGTATAAATATGTATATTTAATATAAACTGTTAATTTGAATCCCAAGTACTTTGGAGAACCGTAGACTAGGCGACAGTGAACCTGACCAACAATTTCCGTATGGATAACGATAAATTATGTACACGTTTTTTTCAACGGAGCAATCAAGTCCGCGAACGACGGTATGTTGTATGTATGTTGTATGTAGTTCGCTACGAGCGGCAGTTTATAGTGATTGAATATTGGTTTTAAGACCTGGGAAATAACATTCACCACATACGCGTTTTCACTGTATTTGATTAACGAGATTGGAGGCCTACATGTCCATATATTCCGCCTTTGAATATTTAAGTCTTAATGTTACAGATAAGTTGATTATAATGATGTACTAATACTTACAATCCCATAAGTAGGTCACCAACCACTTGGACAACCTCTTTATTGTACATCTGTTGGGTTGTTGATTCGAGGCATATTCCTTGCATTGACATTACCTCGCAACCCTTTGCACGAAGCCATAAATTCATCTATCATACCCTGAACTACTTCAAGGAGCTTCACGTCCTGGATACAGTCCTGCCTCTTCACCAACAACATAATTCCTCAACGGAATGTATCCGTATTTTGGTATTATTTTTGGTGCCAGCCTTCGATGTCGTGGGTGGGGATACGGTACAGCTATAAATAAATAACAAAGGATTAATTTTAATAAAGCACTTAACAAGAATGCTCTTTCTATCATAAATTGCAGACTGGCGGACCTGTGCATCGAGCTTTCGGGCTCTGCAGTTGTTGCAAAACTTTAGGGGTTTCATTTTGTTATTTAATGTATTATATGCAAAGAGAGAATTGAAGACAAGTGTTCAGAATAAGTGTACGAGCAAGTGTGCGGAGGAAACGGTCGTTTTTACACATATACGGTATACTGTTACATCAGCACGACCGTTGAAATGACATTATTTACAATTCACTATCATACGGAAACATCCGAGGCGAGACTCGCACACTCAATCAACGAATTTCGATAACAACCATCATATAAAACACCTGCATTAGTAAAATCATTCGTCTAGCAAGAAAGAATTAGTTACGATAATGTCTGATCTTAGAGACAGAACGTTAAAGATATACTTAAGTAGTATAATAAAGTTGGCTAAGTCGGTGGCCTCATCACTAAGCATCGACACTACAGAGCTCTATTGTCACGGTGAGGGCCGCCTCGCGAAGAAAACCGCTGACATCAACATGTAATCAAACATTAGTTTACCCAACTATCAGAAGAAATACAAATAGGGAATTTGACTAATCATTCGCCGGTACCATCAATCTTATATTTAATATTAAAACGCAGATACTGTTATGTGTATCGATTCTCCAGACTCTGATACTAGCATCGCATAGCTTTACATTCTGACGCAATGTAGATGTGTTAGTCAAAAAATTTACGTTGTTATTGTTTATATTTACTCTAACAAGTAATTATTACGTGTATACATACTTTAGAGATTTTAATATTTAACAGAAAACGAATTGCTATATAATTTAACATTACCATAGTTCTATGTGGAATTGTATTGATTGTCCTTCTATCTTCTATGCAATAATGCCAAGCCTAAGTTTAAGATGGATTAGGGTCTACAGAATATTGTACAAATAATATGATGGTTACACTGTATAAATATAGCCTACCCTCATACGGAATGGTATTTGGCAGGATCGATTTTTACAATAATACAATCGTGGGCGCGACCAGGACTTCTTCAGCGTGATTTAATGTTTCAGAATAGGCTACTTCCACGACCAAATTTGGCCAAGGACAATCCTAAATAAAAAGGTATATGAAGTTACTAGCTTTAAAAAGTTCAAAACCAATAAAAAGAATAGAAATTACATGTCTATTGCTTCCATATGGCGCGGTTATGGCTGGTTTCATCGGACGAAACGATGCAACGGCTTCTTTTCCACGGTTTATGTCACAGGTTCCTTTAAAAAAATTAATACGATGCACGCACAAACGGAACAATATGTTATAACATTAATACTTACTAGTACCACCAAAACCATCATCTCAGCATTGGTAAAAGCAACGGCATGGCATTGGTACATTAACATCCTAGTAACTGCACAAATAACAACTTTGTGTGGCATAAAAGGAAGTTCATAGATTGTTACTTTCCATTCAACCATTCCCAGCATCTATGAATGCTAAATTTTTCTACACGTTCTTCATAATCCTCTATGGTGATACCCGTAGCAAGTACATACGGTAGGCTTAATATAACAATTTACATCAGCAACTGGTTAAAAAATCAAACAGTAAACTTACCTTATCTCGCTTTTTCATTAGATTCTCCCTTATCCCACCACAAGTTTCGATAATAGTTGCAGTCTAACATTCTTTCTGGACTTTCTGGAACCGCATCAGCACTATCCCTAAGAATATTTCCGGAATATGAAAGTTAGCGAAAAGAGAATAGGGAGTAACAATTGCACATACAGTCCAATCCGGTTATAACGAATATCTGTTTATAATGAAGATTGTCTCCGAACCAATCATTAAATAATTATAATCTTTGCTATAAAAAGAGACCTTGGAGATTTTTTCCAGTCCCGTAGAATTTGTTGTAACCAGATTAGACTGTATAAACGCGTTTTAGGCAGCTATAATTATACCCCAACACTATAGCTTCCGAGATAATCTCATTGGAATATAATAGTCGATTTACTTGAGAAGGGCAAACCGTTTAGGACTAGTTTCTACCAATCGACACTCGGTTGTGAGTAGTAAAGCCTGTATAACTAAGAGTAGAAAAATCACAGCTTCGTTCGAAAATAGCTAAATCGAAGGTAAACAAATAATTGCTCTCCTGCAATTATTGGCTCGACAGTTTTATTTACCAAAGAGTTTAACAACACATATAAGTGTGACTCTGACTACTAAATTTTGAGAGCACCTTTTGAGAGCACCTTTTGAGAGCACCTTTTAGTATTAGTCAAATTTAGAACATCAAACACTCCCTCACGCGACCAAACATAATGCTAGTATGCCATACAGAACATAATAATAACTGATACATTGTTGTTATTATTATTATTATTATTATAAAATTGTTTAACAAACTTGCTACAGTGAACCCTCTCTAATATCCACCCTACGGGACCGGCCAATTTTGTTGATATATGCGGGGTTGGATATCATAGGGGGTGTTAGGGTTTTAAATAATGACGTCATATGCAATGATATTATATACGATACTTATTATTATGTCTCGAATTAAATCTTAAACTTTATTTATATTTATAATAAAAATCTCCTTTATGTCTTTCTCCATATAAACTCAACAATTTGTTCACCTCTTATGATTGTGGTTCTCTCTCTCTTTGATGAAAAAATCTGGTAACTTTTTTTGTTGCCTCGCCTCGTATATATTTGATTGAATGCGTCGCAACAGACTTTGCAATCTTGGCCTTCTACAAATTTGGCGGGGTCTTGCTGTTCTACATACTAATACTGCAGAAGTAATTTGCATTGTTCCAATGCCGTAGAATGAGAAATTTTTCGATTTCAATGTCGCTGTCTTTATTACAGCTATCAGAATTAGACGCGTGGAGTATGTTTATACTTTAGGACGCAAATCGTATTATAAATAGACATTACGTAGTAAATACGTGATATTGTAGATCAGAATTTTAGATTTTAAAATACTAATTTATATTGATGGTGATATCAGTGAGGTACATTTAATTAGGAATAAAATCTGATATGTGTTGATAGGGATATCAACGGGGTATGATATCGAAATTGATATATGCGGGAGAATTTATATACGGGAAATCCGTTCTGTAACCACTGTTGCCAATAGAGAGAGGTTGATATTAACGGGGTGGATATTAGAGAGGGTTCACTGTATTACTAGAACGACAATCCTTAGCCGAAGAGTGTATTCATTGTAAAAGGGCGATAGATTTCGTTGCGGTTTTAATGAATTCTTTATATTCGTTCTTAGTGAATGGGTTTATTTAATAATGGTAGACGATAAATTTAGTTGATTTCACTATGTGATCGTAGTACCTTTATTTAATATATTATCATAAAACGATTAGCATTGAATAAATCTAAGGACATCTCAACATAACATTACAACTGACAAAATTCATATTATTAATAAATCTGATGCACCGATTTTTAACGTTCGATTCAAAGCCATACATTTTCGGTGCAGGTTCTCTCTATTCTATATAACAGTAATAATAAGCGTCACGGTTCAATAAACAACCAATCACAAACACTGTAGAAAAGTAAATACTTTTGAAGAAGCATTTGCCATCTGATGCATTGGGGTTTATTATGAGGTACGATATTGAATTTAAGTATGCGGTAGAACGTATCTGTGGCGCTTGATGGTTACATGCTTCGCCGCAGCATGTCTCATTTAACAAATTCCTTTATTATGCTTTGCTTTCAAATATTACTAATTTAAGAAAGTTTTTGTAACCGAAGCTTCTTTTATTTATTATTGTTATTGGAACGCATATGTAAGCTATTAACTGAGATGCATGCAGTGACCATTACGAAACTGTCGACATTTCTCTCTTTTTTTCTGGCCAATCCCCAAACTCCAATCGGTAACTGCTAACACACCAAATGGCGATAATAAAAGGTCGATCGTCATCTTTCATATAAAATCGACTGTCCTTGACTTGAGATAGATAGGACTTCATCAATCTTCAACCCCTATCAGTACCAACATGAAGAGAAACAGTAGGCCATGTCACATCAACAATCCTCGCGTTGGGAAGGCCATTAATTTTCAAGAGGCTCACAAAGAAATTTACACTATATAAGCGATCGGCTGACCAGTAAATGAGTTAGATCCGAGCAGTGCGAAGACATTGTTATCAACAATTATGCCACTCTCATTAGACAGCATTGGGTTATTTGGACGAATGTTGCTGCAGTGTTGATACTCGAGCATCTGTTGTGTAACAAAATGATCGCTTGGCTAACGAGATGCAGTTTGGACAAGTCAGCGTCTAGTGAGCCGATATAAAGAACCTCGTTGTTGAACATAATACCAAGGAGCCCGTCTATATGATCCGTATCAATATTGCAGTCATCAACTGTAGACATCCTTTGTTCGGTTGTAAAATGTGGGGCAGAGCGAATACGGTAACCTTGAGACTCTGATTTCGACTGTATGCCTCACCGTTTTGACGGGTTCTTCAAATCTATTACTTCTCCATCAACATTTGATGTCCTGCTGGTTTGGGGCGTAAGAAAACTACGACTCGGTCACCGCAACCATGTTCCCGCGATACATGATACATCAGAATTACATCACAGAACCGTGTGCTGGTGAAACTATGCCTAAGGGTTGGGTGAAATACTTTCGTCAACGGATTTTTCGAAATTATACACACAGTCATCGCTGCAAACCTTTCTGGAGTCCCACAGAAGCTCGAGGAATTAGTTAGATGTTTCATAATGGATACTCTTTCGTCACTTTGTAACGCAAAGGAGTATAGAACTGTGAATTATGACGCATGTTAGCCGATGGAGATTCTGATTAACAAAAAATTGCTAGTTTTGGAGAGATACAGGTTTAGTAATTTTTTATTTGAGTTAAAAGACTAATAAAAATTATATCGAATAGATCTTAAAAGAACCGGGTTGAATATTTCAAATATTTATATTTATTTCAGAAAAGGTTTACTATAAATATGCAGTGCAGAGAAGAAATTAGTTGATAGTAAATAACTCAACAACAGAACGTCTGGATTACGTTATGCTTACATCAATAGCCATATATGCATCTAAATCCGCATCCAATTCATCGTACGTAATAACCTTTCGCAGGGATGGTGTCTTTCGTCTATCATTATCTTGATTAGACGTATCACGAGCTCGCTCGCGTACTCGCCCACTCAGTCTACTCCCAGAATTTGACGCCGAGTTGGAATCGGTCTTTGTGTGGCCGATTCTTGAGCGAATATTGGAAGATCCTTGTTTTCTGTAAAGAACAGTAGACAATATACCGACATAACATATTTATAAAGAAGAAGTAGAAGAAACCATAAAACATATATATATTAAATCACCATGTACAGTAAAAGTATAAATGTATGGGGGGAGGATATCTCTAAAAGCGCGCGTACATTGAGGAGCCGCGGGAATCCCCTAACCGGTCAAATACTGATGCACTCCAACTCGAACTATTCGATGAGCGTCCGTTAGAAACTTTCAATCCAGGCTTCAACGCTGCAAACTTAATATGCATCTTTTGACCTAAACCGGATCTTTGTTAGATCATAGGCATATAACTTTTCCTAATAATAATGCAAAAAGCAAACTAAAATAGTGTTTCAACTACCATCAAGCTCTACTCCGTTCAATTTATCTAAAGCTGTTGCTGCATCTCCCGAGTTTTCAAAAGTAATGTCAGCCACCCCCGTACTTCGACCGGCACGATCATAATGCAAATAGATTTTCTTGATAGACCCGTATTCAGAGAATAACTCCTGTTTAAAAAAAGAAGAAGACATTTTTAAAATTTTAATAGTTTGCAAAATTGGGCAGACTTTGCCAAGCAACTGGCTTCTTCCCCCCCCTTTACCTGAAGGTCGTCTTGCGTAACTTCGTAAAATAGATTTTCTACAACTAGCCTGGGATTTCCATTTTGATTGAACGTAAGACGCTTACTAATTGCACTAGAACGCCGTGGGTTTTCAGTTCCATCTTCGAAAAGGTCATGCGACCACTGGCCGTTTATGTCTCCTCTGGGAGGTCTCTGCCAAAAAAATAAAGTTTAGCACTATATCAGTCATATATGCGTGAGTAGGCTCTGTAGCAAAACAAGCAATAAATCATTTGAGTCTCTAGTAATAGCATGTCTGCGTTTAAAAGTAGATCATTTGCAGTTTGCGATAACCTACCGAACGATCATAAGGTGTCGATCTGACACGCCCAGTCCTTTTGGGACCGCCAGACTGTAATTGATTACGTCCGATGCGGCGGAGAGGTGGTAGTTTTCTGTTTCGTCGGTTTCTGTTTCCAAAGTCGTCGATTGCCATGTCCATCGCACCGCTCGTAAACACAAATCTATAGTTGTAGTCCGAAGCTTATCTCCCAACGCGGTGTTTGTTTGCCATTTCAGAATGTGCCAGCCAATGCGCACATTTAACTCAATGATCCATAAATGATTTTAATTGGCTGATCAAACTCCGGAGGATGACAAACATAAACTCGCCCTGAGCCTACAAAAACACTTTTCCGTCTTATTCTGTCTCCGTAAATCTTCAATCTACGAAGCGCTTCTACTTTAACCCGCCGTAACACTCTTTGAGAAGCAACGTATTATCTTTGACATTAATATACCTTTAAACGACTTCCAAACAAACAAGTCAAATAAAAGAAAAGAAAAATGTCTGCCGGTCTTGACATGTCTCTCGATGACATCATCTCCAAGAAGAGACCATCAAGAGTTTTTAGAGGTAGACCCGCTCGAGCCAGTGGTATTGTCAAACGTTCCGGTGGACCGATCAGGAATTCGCGGCCACTCCAAACTGGATCTCGACCTTATGGGGTACCATCCGCAACAACATCCAACGTCGGCTCCGCACCTGAAGGAAAGATTTTGGTATCTAACCTTGCTTATAAAGTCACAGAGGCAGACCTTTGGGTAAATATTTATTGTATCCGAAAACTTTACAAAGCGTTCCCGGTTGGTCGAGAGTCACAACTTGTTAGAAAGGGAGATGCGAGAGAAAGCAAGTGAGCTTCTTTCTTTGTGCCAAAGCTGAGGGGTTGCTCAACACTATGCATTGTGAGCGAAAAGCGACCTTTGTACGAAAGTATAGTAGTCGTCATCAGCACTTTATTTGTTTAGTGGCTTTGGGACTTTGAAAAAGACCGATGTCCTTCCTTCTTACTCTCGATACAATCACCATTATTCCTACTCCATGAAAACAATCACTCTCACTTCAATACACACCCACACCCACTCGCACTTCGACACCTCTCTTCCTTCTTTCCAACACCCAGGAACTTTTCACAACTATGATCGGCCCCGTACGTCGAGTGAATCTCAACTTCGATAAAAATGGACGATCCAAAGGCACCGCTTCGGTTGTTTTCCAGAGAAGAGCAGACGCCGTAAGATCTGTTGAAAAAATGCGAAATATTACCCTGGATGGTGAGTTATAGGATGATACTCTGGGTGTTCGATGTTTGAATATTGTCTCAATATTAATTTATCTGATATTACAGGACGCGAGATAAAGATCGAAATAGTTGTCGTTCCGGGGACCAACAGTGGAGCCAACCCTATTTCACAACGCATCGGTAATTTACAAGAGTAAGTATTGGTGAAATTTATGGTTACTATTTACTGTCCATAATAATGTCTGATGGGAAACATCAATTTGTAGGCGAAGCCGTGTTGCGCCCATTCGTGGAGCTGTGAGCGGTGCACCTCGAGGATTACCAACGCGTGGTGGTGGCCGCGGTCGTGGAGGTATCCGTGGCGGTCGTGGCGGCGGTCGCAGGCCAGATAACAGGCAAAAAAAAACGCAGCAGGAGTTAGACGCAGAAATTGGTGAATATATGCAGATTGATGAAGTGAGTATTTGATATGTTCTATATAATTGATGAAGGTGTGTTGACCCATACTTGGTAAACTATTATTAGCAGGAATCTAATCAAACGGCAATTGATTCCGTGGGAAAGCAAAATTAATTCGTAGGCATATATATCTATTATATATATAAATACATATCTAGTAATATTTGTCAACACATGATCCAAGTGGCATAATCAGGGCGTTATAATATGCAAATTCTTTTGATTACAAGTTGTGCTTTCCCCGTTATTTGGGTTCCTGTTACCTCATTGTCGATAAGTACAACTACAGTATTTTTCGGTTGAAATTTATATATCAATAGAGATTAGAGATTTACAACTAAATCTCAACCTCAATCTCGTCATTTACCTTACCATAGAAATACAATAACTACTCTTCATACTTTTATCTGCAAAAAGAATTTATCTATGACAAATATCTCGATGCTTGGAGGAAAGCCCGTTAGGCCAACACTGCTTTTGGCAAATAAGGAATTGATATTTTGAACGAGTGTACCGATTACAATTCGTCATCGAAAAAAACAATCGTTACCTATCCCTCCGCTTAGTAATAGAAGCATAATAATAGTCATAAATAATATCATGGAAACAATTGATACAATTTTACGTCCCCATACCCTGACATAAAAGATATACCAAAGAGACTAGTTACGTTTCAATTCCAAATAAACACCTTTCGGGAATAGATAAGCATTGATCTTGTATAAATGCTTTTATTCAATCGATGTCTTTTCCTAAAACTCAGAATGTAAGCTAGTGCATTCTCTTCCCATATTTTGCTGTAACTACTCATGAACAGATTGCTTGGGCGACGTATGTAAATTCGCATTGCCATTCAATGTGTCTTGATCCAGGTCTTCAAGTTTGACAAGATATGCAATGGTCCCCTCAATGTTCTTTTTGAGTGTCAAAAGAGCGCTGAGTACTGACTGTATTCCGATGACGGTTTCCTCACAGTAAATAACCTCTTGTAGGGGACAAGAGTGTAAAATTTTAGTTAGAGTTCTTTACAATGAACATATCTGTTAACAATCTTACCAATTTCCTGGAACCATAGCAGAAGTATCAACACCTTGAAGCTTGCTCCTTATTTGGAACCAGTTCCTGCCTCGCCACTCTTTGGCCGCAAACATTTTGGGGCTCTTCACCACAGCCACTTTGGTTCCTCCAATACTCCCGAGAATCTATACATATATCTGTTTTGTAACCGTTCTCGCACGGAACCGAAGATCTCCGTTTTGACTTAGCCGATAATAATAAGCCGATGAATCCAAACATTGTTCATCGCTGGGAAGCTTATCCATTTAGTTATCATTCGATACGCACTGGCCGTTTTCAAACCATCGTCGCATGGTGTTCATTGACCCCCCAGCTGTCAGATCACATCGTCAATATTCGATAGATGTGTAAGTTACAGACGTACGGTGCTCTATACCTAAGACATTACAAAGCCACTTACGCATACCGAAATTGTTATTCTTTTCACTTTATAATAAATTAAGTAAATAATAAGCAATCATCAATCCAGATCTTGACAGCTTATAACCGACAAACAGGCAATCCATCTCTCAACAGTCAAGGCGATAGTTATCCCTAATTGAAATAATGGCAAGTCTCTATTGGTCAACAGATGCAGACAAGTTACATAACTCACTAGGAGATGACCAGGTCAGAGCCAGTTTCTACTGTGGCATATACTGACCTGCAGAACGCCTTATATATTTGAGACTGCAAAATAAAAGGTGGGTCGTTATTAAATATTGTCTTTGGTCAAGTAACATTGTAACAAAGACCATTCAGCAAGCTTACATAAATTCCTTGATTAATCGCTCTTTATAATCGGTTGGACAAACAGTATTATACTATAAGAAGAGAAAATTATCAACAACGTTATAACCCGCAAAACCGCAAAGCTTTGATGTCAATGATACCTCTATAAGGCAACAAGAAATTTACTTCATCCTCATCTAATTCCTGAATTCCATTACAATCTCAGTTCGTATTTCTGATCGCCTGTCCTGGAGATTGGCCCGTATGATCATATGAGACTATTGGGTTTATGAACAAACATCACTGGTTAGATTACGGTCTCATAACTTGCTGATACATCCGTTGTATTTTTGGAATGAATTTTCGCGCAATCTCCCCTTCGTTGAATGTAACGATAGAGATTGCTCTTTATCTAAATCCTCGCCAATACTCTTATCATCACAATCGTCATAGTCATCCTCTTCCCAAATCAATGTTTGTTAATAGAACAGCAGACAAAATTGCTCTTCACCTAGATTCTTAACTATACGTTTATTTTCATAATTATCATATTACCATCCCATCATTCTCTTATGAATATTTCATTACCTTCAGGTTATGTTTTGATTCTGTCGCACTGGACGATGGTCTGCTGAGCATGGAAAGTCATTAAGCATCTGTCGAGCCCGTTTGTTTGCACATCCACCATAAATGTCATGCTCCATGTGTGGATAAGCTACAACAGCAGATATCAACACATAATGTTTTGGTACGCAAAAAAAAGTGCAATCTAAGTTACCAGTTATACGGCACTTCTGTTCCCACTTCTCTTAACAATCTGCCAGTAATGAACTGACTCGAAATCGTTGAACGTGGGCTCTTTTCGAGACAAAAACGTCAATTCGAGACTTACATTCAATGGTACTCCATTCATGTCATTAAGTGAAAAGACCGTTCTCTTCACCTTACGGTCATTATAATTTACAAAATGACACATCATCGTGACATACTCGTGCTCAACCTCCGTCTTCTGGATAGAATCGTGCGGTGAAAGAAACCATTTAATATGCCCATAGGTCTTGACGCGTGCTTATGTAACACGTGCTTTGTGGCCCGAGACAATGGCTTACACCTACACAACATCAAAGAATCATACCTTTACATGTTACAAGATCAGATTCCACTTCATCTGTTTCAGTTATATGGTCGCTACATAGTGTGTAGACAGCAAATGTTGCTGTATGTGAATTTTAGAAAGTATAGTAACAGATCAAGTTTTAACATAAAGTGCAGTACTCAAAAAAACCCCCCATTAAAAATGTATTTTTGTAATATAGAATAAATAGAGGAAAGAAATAATAGATTATTATTATTATTATGCTTAATTAAATGTTACGTTTGGGATGGAGGACACATCCGCATGAAATCCAAATGCTTATCCAAATTAGGAAGAGTAAATGAGAGTGTAATCGAGTCATAGTCGTCAGGATTTTATAATAGACGCGATAATTCCATCGCTAAAAACTGTTGCCGCTGTCGTTGCCGTGTCAAGGCGTTGGGTCGTCATTCATTATTAATAGGTTTTAAATTCATAATTATGAAATATCCATACTAAATACAGTACATCTTGCAAAGTGAGAATATCAATTTGCACTATTGCTATATGCTTTATTCTCAATCAGTTTTCAAATTACACTCAATAGACAAAAACTAGTTAAAGTTCTTGTTCTCAAAGTTTAATAACTGAATGCTAACAAATTATTGGGTTTTTTTAAAGTAGCCACAGACCATATATTTATTGCTTATTAAACCTTTTAATGTTCTGAATATCACATTGATTTTACAATTCCAATAAAAATTTATAAAATAAATTTGGCATCTAATATTAATATTAACCTGGTCGCAAATTCAATATCAATAGTTAAATAATTTACGCTAGTATAAACTTACAGTATTACTATTAGTACGTACATCAATATTTAACGATAGCGTTGTTTTAGAATAGCTGTTTCACATTAAGAATTTAGATATAAACAACAAATATTCGAGGAAGTTCTACACCTTAGAGTTTGAAGGCTCCAACGGATTAATAGAATAATGTCTATAGAGATTCTTCAATTGACATCACTATCGTCTTCAATGTCTTCTCTAATAGCAGCTCAACCTGATAATTTCTAACTTTTGGCAGGTGCTGGACTTACTCAAGCTACAGCATTGACGGCTTAATCAATTGTACAAACGATCTTACTGTATACTACTGAGATTTACCGTAATACTTTCTTATTTAGCCATAATTAAACAGCTTTTTTCTAACAAGTTTAACTTGTGCGTTTGTGACGCATTCTTCCCTACATTTCTGTGTATGCCAACGGTCACGGGAGAGCGGTCGGCCCTTGGGATTTAACTTCCTTTCCACGGAGGTGTGTCTACGATAAGTTAAATATAATACCACTTAGTGACCTTTCGATTAGGATTTACCTATTCACGCCTCTCCAATAGTCGATTGATCCTAGATAAATACATCGTTCTTCAAAGTATGTTCACTATGATCCACCGTTGGGATTAATTTCTATGGTCTATAGTTCCGGGGTGATTGTATAATTCTCAACGCGTTGCTAACTGAAATTTTTATTGTAATTGCCACGGGAATAATCGCGGGACAAGAGACAAATACTCCTAAACGATTTCTTAACTACACCGATTGAATGAAGTAATAATCGTGTACGTTCTGAGTATATGGAACTATTCATTATTAGCAATAAAATGTGTAATTATAAATACTTTCTGAACTGTCTAAATCTTCTATTTTAGCCACACGAGTCACTGCCAAATTTATTAAATTATTGTATAACAGCGCGCTATTAATAATGGCTGCCGCTGGCACTGTTGTTATCTTGATCCGTTACGGTCCTGTCACCACACAGCCAAATCATCCATATGGTTGAAATTTACATCCCCGTGCTTGTTATCAATATTGCACAATCGCGTAAAGGGTTTACGAGCTTAGAGGAAAATGCATCCGCAGATGCTGTCAAAAATAGAATAGCGGCGTCTCAAATAGATATAAGCAGTATGATTTTCTGTTAGATTCTGTGTTCAGATACGGTACTTTCAATCCTTTATTATTACTATTATTATTATCAATAAACGAGTGGTTCCTTGTATTCCGAATACACGATTAATACTTTATTCCCTGGTAGCATTCGATATAGTAAAGAAACCGTTAATCTCTATATCAGAAAGAGAATATTCGCTTCTTGTCCCACGATTATTCCAGTGGCATTTACGATAATTATTCGTTTACGAAGAAACGCGTTTGATATAACTATTACACCCCAACATAGCCTTCCGAAATAATCCTATCGGAAGAGAATAGTGAATTACTCGATTATCTAGGATTACTGTCTACTGATCGACACTAGGTCGCGAGTAGCAAAACCTGGTTTAAATGTCACTAACTTCAATTTTATTTAGGACTCCGCTCGAACTTGGCTAAATTCTCAGACGATTGCTCTCCCGCGATTTTTGACACATTACACATAAATTTATTTATACTGATAAACATTATTATCAATTTTATAGCATTGACAAAATAAAATTTGCAAATAACTCAAGGACCTTTATTACCATTGCTAACTATAAATAATTACTTGCTTTATAAAATCACTTCATTCTTTCTTGACTGGATAAATTTCAGCCAACTCTTGGATCTTTCTTTTTAACTTGGATTTATCATTGTATTCAAAAAAATAAACCTTATTTTGTGCCTTAATGTACCCTTGCTCAGCAGCTTTTTGATATAATTCAATAGCTTTCTGTTCATCTTGTTTTACTCCAATTCCCTCCTCATAGCACCAACCAAGATTATATTGTCCATATGCATGCCTTTGTTCAGCTGCTTTTTGAAACAATCCAATAGCCTTTTGAATATCCCTTTCTACCCCAATTCCATTTTTGTAACATAAACCAAGGCTAGTGTATGCAAAAACATTTTCTTGCTTGACTGCTTCTTGATACAGTTCCACTGCTTTTTGAACATTTTTATCTGCACCAATGCCTTTTTCATAACACCAACCAAGATTATCTTGTGCAAAAGAATCTCCTAACATAGATGCTTTTTGATACAATTCAAAAGCTTTTTGATAGTCTGTTTTTATATTAATACCTGTTCTATATAAATAACCAAGATTATTTTGTGCATTAGCATCACCTTGTTCAGCTGCTTTTTGATACCATTCAACTGCCTTTTGTTCATCTTTTTCTACTCCTCTTCCATACTGATAACACAAACCAAGATTATATTGTGCATCAGCATCACCTTGCTCAGCTGCTTTTTGATACCATTCAACTGCCTTTTGTTCATTTTTTTCTACTCCAGTTCCACTCTCATAACACCAACCAAGATTATACTGTGCACCAGCATCTCCTTGTTTAGCTGCCTTTTGATACCATTCAACTGCCTTTTGTTCATCTTTTTCTACTCCTCTTCCATTATCATAACACACACCAAGATTATATTGTGCTTGAGCATATCCTTGTTCAGCTGCTTTTTGATACCATTCAACTGCCTTTTGTTCATCTTTTTCTACTCCAATTCCACTCTCATAACACCAACCAAGATTCTTTTGTGCTTGAGCATATCCTTGTTCAGCTGCTTTTTGATACCATTCAACTGCTTTTTGTTCATCTTTTTCTACTCCAGCTCCACTCTTATAATGCCAACCAAGACTATATTTTGCATACAAATGCCCCTGTTCAGCAGCTTTTTGATACCATTCCACTGCCTTTTGTTCATCTTTTCCTACTCCAGTTCCATTAGAATAACACACTCGTGCTTGGACATCAGCTGTATTTTCATATCCTTCAAAATGAACTTCATCCAGGACCTTTTTTTCTAGTTCATCCTCAAAGATGATAGAAGTCATGTTATTATTATAACTTTTAGTTGTCTTCTCTAGAAAATTCAATAAATGAGTTGTTTGTGAATAACGAGATTCCGATAAAGAGTGCACTCTCCGATAAATCACTTGCGTAATCCCTTGTTATTGTGAGTTATTATAATATAATGTTTATACAAGTTATATAAATTTTATCCTAAAACCATGCACTTGAATTGTTGATGAGAAGCTCTGTCCTTTCAGAGAAGCATACTAATACGTCGAAGCAAAATAAGAACACATATTGCGAATTGTGACAAACTCCGTCATCACTAGATCTAACATTCTGAAACTAATTTTGGAATATAACCATTGTCTATTATTAAAATTCGATTATTCGTTTAAGTTAAAGGCAACGAACAACTTCTCTTCTGTTTTCAGTTTTGGAAGAATGATAGTTGAACTTTATTTGACTGGAGACGAAAAATAGTCAAACGACAGCGCATGATTGATGGGGAGAATGACCTTGGAGTTTTTTTCTTTGGGGAAAGAACATTATGGTAGTAATAATACCGTAAAGTCTGACAACGAAGAAGCCATGGTAAAGCTTTTATAAAAAAAGGGGCGTGAATGTTAAAAAAATTTTACTTTGAAATATTTAATGCACATTGCTCGACAATCATTTCGCCGACAGTACATTTCGCCGACAATTAACTACCAAAAAAGGATAACTTCGAAATAATGTTGGTAAATATTTGTCGGTGAAATGATTGTCGATGAAATGATTGTCGATAAAATGATTGCCTCCCCTCTCTACTAGTGCTGAATTGAAGGTCTAACCACAAGTCAGATTTGTTATTATTAATATTAAGCTATTCGTATATTGTTCCTCGTTTAAACTAATCTGAAGCTATTTTTTATCGTTACCTTGTCTATTTTTGATCGGGTGATTGTTTTTAAAGCGCTGCGGATTTACTATCACTTGCAGAGAAAAGTAATGTGTGCAGAATTTTAGTGGAATTATTATTGAGCTTTATTCAAACTGTTGGGATATTGTCATACTTTTCCTAACGTTCCACAATAATTTTTGATTCCTGTACGACAATTAAAATAGCAACAGTAAACTTTTTTCAACAACCATCGGAACATGGCCTCTGCACTCTTCGCTGAGGGTGTATATAAGTTATTTAAGACATGGACAGCTTTGAATTTAGCGGTGGAGAATCTATGGGGTGGGGTAGACTCCGAGGATAAAAGAGATTGGTTTGTTGGTGTTGTCGTAGAATACTATGAGAAAAGTAAGTTGATATATTAAGGTACGAGTAGATGAACAATTGCCAAATGCTCACTTATAAAAGATGCATTAGTATTTATTAATCTTTTGATTCTGTAGACGGTCAACGAACAGATCCATTCGACGTCGAGCAAATTCTCGAACAAGTCATGTCTGATGAATTCAGTACGATTCTTGAAGATGATTCAGCATATCAAGTAGGATGTTATTCCTCCCATCTTTTCCTGATCGGCCGTTGTTTTTATCCGCTGCTCAAGCATTGGTTTCTCATATCTTTTTTTTTATAATAAAGATTGCTCAGACACTATCCCGAATGTATACAGAATGCCTAACTAATAAATCGACAATAATTGATAATTTACGAGCCAAACAATCTTCGCGACCGACAGGACAGTCGGTTGCAATTACAAGTAGTAATGGTAATGGTAATGAGGACGACAATGACGATGAGGATGAGGACGAGGACGAGGACGAAGTTGGGAGCACATCAAACTGATTATTCCGAAAACAATAGAATTTCATCTTGCTTCAACAATGAAAGTAAAAACTGTTTGTTTTTTTTGAGCTCATATTGGGTCTTGTCAATGCGATTTGCAATGGATGCAGTTCGCGAAAAGAATAAATTCCCACCACATGTCGGAGTATCGCGAGAATACGATACATCTAGAGGCAGCCTAGTTTTAAACTGTTTAAACGCGTGTTGATTATCACTTAATGTCAAAGTGTTTGTATTTCCCATGCTCTTTCTCGTATGTGACATCTTCGATTACGCTTCAAGTTGATTTTGCCTTGCCAACAAGAATCAGAATTCCCGCTTTCATTGGCCCTTCCTATATTATTAATATGAATCCTCCTCAAAGTCGTATACTGTTTGATAATATATTGTGACTTTTGGCTTTGGAAGAGTTCTAATGGGGGCGTTCCTTAACGGTCGATGTTGACGGAGCTTTGCTTGAAAAAATCGGTTTTGTATGACTATCAGTATTGAGTATCAATGAATCTGGTTCCATTCAGTTCCAGACCAAAATCAATATTACTGAGATTTATGCACGACTGGAACAGGTTTAACAATTCGGGCAAAACGTTTATATTCCCGCTCGGCGGACTGTCCATCGCAAGTGAAGTTCGATGCATCAAAGGCATGTCTGCAGAATAACTTGATAAATATCTCAGTTGCTGTTAGAACGGATATTGCATTCTGTGCATAACGCGGGATGAAAAACACGTGGGACAAAAATATGGGGTAGAAATTTTGAGTTAGGGGTATTTGTGAACCCATACAAGGCCGCCCTTTACTGTTATGACATGACAAACTAGCTAGTTGAGCAGCCGAGATGGCCATCCTATCTGCAGAGTGGATGTGAATGTGGATGTCAATTTGAACACTTAACAATTGCAAATGTGATTCTGAAACCAATCGGAAACTTTCCAATGATAATAAATAATTGTCATAGTATTAATTAATATTGCTACCCATTTCCGATTTTACTTTGATGACTTGGTTAAAGAATTGTTCGTCTGATGTCTGACATACTGAATCAAATGAAATGTAAACTTGCCAATTATGTTGTTAATCGATCTGTTCAATTAATTAATTCTTTGATCTCAATTTCGCAATATGCCCAATTGAAAAGATAAAAAGAAAAGAAAAGAATATTATAAAAAAAGCAAATTTCAATTGACAAGATGACATAAACGTTGAATATACAAAAAGAACGAAAATTTACAAAATACTAAATTAGTATACAAGAATAACTAATATACAGTGTTTGTGCGTGTAACAACTAATAGTTCATAAGTAGCAAATAACGAGTCCAGCAGATTAGATCGATTCCATATAGCAAGTCACTCCTAGTCCGTAGGAGGAGGAGTCAAAGGAGGAGAAAGTTGTCCCCTCACCGCCCATCCACCACCAGCCTCATTCACCTCAACGTGTGTCGGATCAATACCTAATCGTTACACAAGTTGTGAGGACTCGTGACAATGACATACAATTTTGCTATGAAAATAAAACTTACCAAGAAAACAAACATCACAGAGTCTAGCGGCAGTACCAAATATACTATCTCTTCTGTTGCCAAGGAAAGTTTGCTGTTCAGCCAAAAATTCCAAAAGAAATTCTTGAGGGAGCAGCGTGAGATCAATAGGCTTTTTTGTGAGACAATCAGTGCAAACTGTTTTATAAAAAGGAGTTCCCGATCGTAAGTATAAATACAAACTAATCGTAACAAAGAGAAAAATACCAAATACTTGCCTATTTTGTTGCACTTGAAACAAGTATTCCTCCATCTGAACACATTGAAATCGACTTTACACAATTCACATGTCCTTGCAACGATAGCTTCATGGACTGTCGTAAACTTGAGGAATTTCACAAATGACCAACCCCGTATTAGCGCGGAAATAATTTTCACTTTAATTAGAACAGAGATTACAAAACAAACTTACTGGATTCAATCTAGACCCAACCGAGTTATCACCATTGGTGATATTTCTTTCGCTAGCTGAATTATTCCCATTCGTATTGTCATGGTCCGGAATAACATTCACGCTCGTAGTAGAGTTGTTGGATAAACTAACTGGATTCCAGACTTGTACGCCTGGTGCCAGGTCCTCGTCTTGAAGAGCATCTGGGAACATAGTGAAGAAGCATGGGTCACATGCACGTACCACTTGATCTTCTCTTTCGCTTGTTCCAGGGATGATAAAGTTCTATAACAAAATAGTCAATTGTTAATGGTGCTATCGAACACAAGTTAGAACGTCAGAGTTTGTCTCGTAAACCTACCCGAGTAGAACAAGCATGGCAAACCACCTTGCCGCATGCACGGCAATGATGCTTTCTCCTGAATACGGTAAACTCTTCCGGGCAATTCATGCACTTGTTGGTGGCCGAATCAGGAACCCATACTGGGGCATTATAATTCTCTACAACTCGCTTCTTATACAGGTCTTTTCTTTGTATGGGGACATTCTTATCAGCTGTAAATAATCATGAGCGATTAGTTCACGTGATCAACTTGAAATAATAAAATATTTGAATATGTAATAGCTGTACCAATTTTAAGTGTTCTTTTAGCACTTAGATATTCATCCTTTGCTTCCCGAATAGCTTCTATCCAGGATTCTTTTTCTCTCTGAGAAACTGTTATAATTGTTTAGTTAATGTGTTGTCTTGTAAAATACGGCAACTAGCATTTTTGATATGAACCTGTATATACTGTAAAGCTCTTTTGCGGACTGATAATCTGGAAGGCATTCCTGACTGCTATGTACAATATGCAAGGTTAGCGAGCCGTCTATGGTTATTTAAGTGCTGGGGGATAAGAAACTTGCCTCTGGATTTGTCAACTGGTAATACTGTTACATCTTCCAGGTCAAATTTACGGTGAAAATTGTACATGTCATCCAGTAATGCTGGACTAAATAAGATACGAAATAATTACCAACAATTATAAATCAATGAGTCTCATTGGTCAATTTTCGTAATCATACTAACCTAGCATATATTAAAATGTCCGAGAACAAGAAAAACTCGCGCTCTTGATGACGGCGCCGACACTCCTACAATCACACAGTGACTTAATACATGATTACCGTGTGGACGGACTTGATACAAAAAGTTGGTTTTTTTTTTTTACCTTGTTGACAGTGCCCCTCTTTATAAATCTCCTTCCAGGCACAAGGAGAGCTTCATCAAAGCCCGATAAAGACTTTTGTATTTCAAGCATAGTTATAAACATCTCATGCTGTCGAATAGTTTCATTGACAAAAGTGGCTACATGCTCGATAACTTGATACGCTTTCTTTAGATTCAAATAGTCAGAATGTGACTCTTCGGTTTTCTTGAGCAGATCTTCAAGAAGTAGTTTGTAGCGGGGTATTCTTTGTACAGGCATGATGAGATAAGCCTGAAAGGTAAGACCTTTGCATTGTCCCGTTTTAATAATGTCCTAAAATGAGACATCGGATATTATGTGAATAAATATATACGGCGTTGTAAAACTATAATTGAGTTGACGTACCCGTAAGAATGCAGCAAACGCCGGATTGCTTTTCAATTGCTCATCAATTAATGCAAGAGCTGAATTGAAATTATTGACATAGATGGAATACATCTTTAAGAATGGTCCCTGCAGATAACGCACATGAGTGATTCGCTGCCCCTACTTGATCATCCAAACGAACAGGTTAAACGGAATCCTACCAAGTTCAAGAATATATCCCCGACACAAGCATCTTCGTCATTGCTCCACAAGTTCAACTCTGATGATCGCTTCTCTCCTATTCCGGCAATACGTTCTTCCAATTCTCTTAGTAATTCAGTATTTACGTTGATAAGTTCCTTGAGATTAGAGAATATTCCTTTAATGCAACTTTCACTTAGAATAGGATAAGATGTTTTTAAAGAGTCGACAAGTGGCCGCAGGAATAGCTGTTACGTAAGGAAAAAAAAAAAATTTTTTTTAGATCAATCAGCGAGCCCCATCTTTAAAATTCATCTTGTTGCTTACCCGTTCCAATAACTGCAGACATTCAACGTAATGTCTCTCTGTCGTAAGTATCTCCAATGCAATGCTTTGCCTCTTCTGAGCAGGTGTAGTAGCACTTATCCTACTCAATCGTACAGACAGTCTCCCGCTGTATATTGCATGCGTGCTCAGTCTCGCATGTGTTGTATCGGTCATGCTTGATGATGCTGATGAGACAGCGGTATCGGTACTTGTGTTCGTGTTTGTTGAAAAAGTTGATATTGTTGATCCTGGGCGTTGTGAGCTATTATTGTAACGTTGAAGTAACTCTTCGACAGTCTCGTTTTCTTCAAAGTCGTCATCGTCGTCATCGTCAACGTTCAGGTCAATATAATTAGTTTCCATTGACGGTGATGCTATTGATGGCGATGTCATTGATGGTGATATTATTGGTGGCGATGTTATCGCTGGTGATGTGTGGTTGTCGTTCTGGTGATTGTGTGAGTAGGGTTTGGTAATATCGTCCGAGTTATCGTCAGTGTTGTCTTTTGGACTGTACTCGTTCGTCGATCTCATGCTAGATAGTATAGGCATTGAAGCTCGCCGACAAGGAGTCGTTGATCCGTGTGTGTCCGAAGATGGAATAGGCATAGAATGTCGATTATGCGATTCTCTATTTGTGTACGTACTTGTCTCATTTTGCGTCTTTATCGATGGTGATGAACTGAATATCGATACCGAGTCCGAGTATAGACTTCCTCGAGTGCTCGCTCCCAACAATGTCGATGGCATAGACGACGAGGGAGATATCAAAGTTTCTGACATGGGTTTACCTTCAACAACATTGTTCATATAATAATATTGGGTACTAGATAAAAGACTGGTTGCAGATGCTGGTGATTGAACCATCGTTGATGTTGACATTATTTGTTCAGTCTCTTCTACTTTATCGGATATATCGAGTTCATTAGTTTCGACTTGTTTCTCATCAACCAACTCTGGTTCTTCATGAGTATCATCGGCTTCTCGCTCCCTTTCTGCTAGCCTACCAGTGTTGACACTGATCATACTTCTGAATTGAGAGCCGTTCTGCACCAGTATACTCAGCCGCGATTTTGCACTATTGTTTGTTATCCCTAGTATTGGAGTAGGTTGTACAATGCTCTCAGTCTCTGAAACTGGAGGATGCTTATCGATAATCCAAGACTGTCTTGCGCCTGGTGCCATGGTTCTACGGAATGAAGGTGAAGCAGCCATTGGATGGGATATGCCATTAATGTGAGTAATGCTAGTGTTTACTTTCAGAGGGACTCTTATATCGGAGGCACCAACAAAGGGCGTTTTTCGTATCTTTGAGGGAGTAGGTTTTCCAGTTATCTGTTCGCTCATTGTTGCTTGATTGTTACGATTAGACGTTGATGATATACTCGTTTCAAAGATGCTCAGCTCCGCAAGTCAGTTAAAAAGCTAATATTTATAAAAAAGAAAGAGAGCACGAGCACAACTACCAAATACTCGGACGGCAGTATGCTCCAGCGTCGTTAGGTCTTTTAAAAAGATATTCGCTTGACGTTGATGATATGATAAAGGAATAATGTCATGTCACATCCCTTGTCAAACGACTAGTACAATTTAATTGAGAAAAAGTTAATAATTGCAGAACTTTAGTGACTAGTGTTTATCACCGTTTCCGCAACAAAGGGGAGGGGAGGGAGCTCTTTTCGAAGTTACTGAGAATGTCGGCCAATCATTTAGCGGAGAAATGATAACGTACACGTCATAAAGTCCGTTTAGTGTTGCATTTTAATTTTGGAAGCTTATACATAACATTCTTTTCACTCCTGAAAAGCTGAGATCACAAATCATTCATTTGTCATTCTCCTAAAATAAAGGCATTGGCTTGTGTACGATCACCCTCATTTCGTTGACCATGTTCGGTAGGAGAGTAGATTGCTGGATGGAAAGAAAAGATGAAGGAGAAACACCATCAAACATGTAGCTGCCTAAAGACGAGAAAGAATGAGTAGAACCTTCGTGGGAAATGCAGATCGTTACCAAAATGGAGTAGTAACTGATGATCGGGGTCTATGAAACTTTGTCTTGTCACACGACTTGTATATTTTGACAATAAATCATAACTCAGGGATTGACCCCGAAACGTAATAGTATACAAATACGTCCAAGTATCGTTATACACTGCTTGTAAGTAGCTTACATTTGTCGGTAGGTAAACAAGACCATCTACATGAAGACATTTACTTGCATTCTTGACCAGAACAGGGTTAAGGAGTCTGCCGAGCCTGCATCAACAGATCTACGTCTAATTTTATAGATCGACATAAAAATATCAGATGCTTATTTATAAAAAGGGAATATGACGCATTGGTGCAAATTATTATAGTAATATTAATTATTAATTCGTAGCTCTTAAGAGTAGAAGACATTCACACAAAGAACATAGACCTTTAATGCTTTTGTATACAATTTCCGGTTGTAACAGCGGGCGGAAATGAATTTGACATTTTATTTCGTTACTATTACTATATGCTCTTCTTAAATTTGGTAGACCAAACGCTGTAAATTCTTCAGCGATCAGAGTCACAGAAAGCTCGAACAACAGAAATCTTCTAACTTAGTGGGAAAGAAATACAGTCATCCCCCTCTACAGTCACGCCTCCCTCTATAAGCACATCATATAAAAAACCTCTTTATAAGCACACCATGTTGAGAACCAATTACTATTAAACTTATAGAAAAAAACCTCTATATAGTCACAACCTCTTTATAAGCACATTTCCAACAAAAGTTGCATTGTTCCGACAGCGTGACTATAGAAGGGGGCGACTGTATTTGGAATTATTATTATGGACAATAGTTGACCGAGAGAGTATTGTTATTGGGTCAAATGTTACTGCATCGAAAAGAATAGTTAATATAGCTCTGCTAGAATAATCTCACCTATTGTGCTTCTCCTTTCCCACTATCGGGTTTTCCATGAAAGGAAATTATCAAGCTGATTATTTTATCAACCTTCGCGTCGATTTTTCGGTCGAGATTGTCAATCTTCGCGTCGATTTTTTGGTCGAGATTGTCGATTTTGGCATCAACCTTCTTATCAAGATTGTCGATTTTGGCATCCATCTGCATCACCGACGCTAAAGATGACCGCGAATAAACCGATCTCTGTAGCATTTTTCGTGACTAACATAATTATTGCCTATTTAGTATTTTATATCTTATAAATCTTGAAAGCAAACATTATTTTATTACTCGCTACTATTAGAAATGCGGGACCCGTTGAACCCGTTGGCAATACCACCATTATACCCGTTGGAAAGACTGGAAATGGTTCTGGCTTTGGTACCGTTGGAAAATGGTTCTCAAAATACGGCTTCCGTTGGAAATGGTTTTGAAAATGCGGCTGGAAGTATTTGACATGTTGAAGATATTGTTTTGTTTTCGAGGAGTGGATTGTTAGAAGTAAAGTGATCGGTGACAAGCATCGAACTAATAAGTCCGTTGTAAAGCTTTACTTCATTATAACTTTCATTATCGTAGCAGAAGTCTTATAGTAGTAAACCAGCTTCCATATCGCTACGTTTATAAATAAGCTCCTTCTTCACGATAGTTGTTTCAGGAGACTTAAGAACGATATTGCATTTATTATCCTTTCATTCGAACTGATCGTTTTCAGTATTGAATCGCTTGCAATAAGTTAACCAAGTTTTATGACAAAAGTTTCGTTATGCATTAGATTTCGTATACCGAGGGTTGATCGTCGTCGATTTCAGGGAAATATGCAAGGTCGATCATGTTTATTTCGTTAAGGGATGGTTGGATTTCATTTATCGAATATTATTTCCAGGTCTTCAAGACCAGATGCAAAAAGCATGGTTGAGACTTGGTCGTCCTCGGTGCCTTTTTATACATGTTTGAACCAATTTCTACACTTCGCAGCTAATTAATATCCAATAAAAATATATAATTAAATTAAGTGTTTCGGAGTACCGCAGCGATCACTTGATCAAATCACCGTTTACAAACGCGCTACGCGCGTCTTATAATTATATTACAGTTCGGAGATTCAACCTTCTTGCGAATAATCAATTCAAATTTCGTAGCGCATTTTTGCACATGGCATTAACGGTGACATCATTACTGTTGCGAGCGACTAACAAAGGCTCAGATGGGGGGTTTTTCATCTCCAGATGGGATGCAACTCGATAAGTCGATCTCACGTGATTTAATTACACTTGATTCATCAACCCGCTAATATCAACACCTCCTTATTATCAGCATTGGTTTACTTAAATGTTGATTTAACATAATCAGATTGTTCTTGACAATACAATGTAACAAAAAAAACCGGACTTTTTTCAGCAAGAGGAAAAACAAGTATACAGTCAAACTCCTCTAAATGGGACCGCAGAGTAGGATAAGTCACATAATATGGATCAAAGTAATTGATTGGTACAATAAATTCTTTTACAAGCGATAATAAAAAAAAAGAGTTTCTTTCTAATGACAAAAACAACCTTGTTTGAAAAAGTAGATATCACCCAAAAAGGTTTTGTTTAATGGTGTTAAAAGTGAAAATTGATATCTCGATTGCTAAACGATCAGTGAATTATTTGTTGTAGACGAGAAATATAGGAGTGCAATCAATGAGTGATTTAGGAAGTGGGTGATTAAGCGGTGTTAAATAAAGAAAAGTTTTTTTACATTAAATAAGCTCTTAACGATAAATTAGGGTGCTCTCATCAGCTACCTCCCCTAATCAGTTTTGGCAATCAAAGTTACTAAAATTAGCAATCATTGTAGGGGAGGTAGAGGGGAGGTAATTTACATCCCCCAAAGTAGGGAGGTACCATAAATAGTAATTGTACTATTGTCTCTACTATAATACTCTATGACATGTATAACTTATCAAACAATAAAGAAATCTTTCCACTTTTGGCAAGAGCTTATTACTCCCCTTTAACTTACCTACCTGCCAAATTTGTCAGCTGATGAGAGCACCCTTAGACTTGTGACTGATTACATTTTAGAACTTCGATCATTATTCGCACAATATAATACATCACGTGATATATACATTTAAAATACTATAATAATAATAATAAGATTTATAAAAATCGATTGCATATTGCAGTCAAAAGATGTCTGCAATAGCAGATCAAGTCCGAACTCGGGACCAGACAAAAGTATGTATTTAGAGGAGTTATGCATTTTGAGGGAGACGCATTTGGATGAATTTTGCTTCCGACGGATAATTTATGCCGAATTTTATGCTAAAATCCTTCAAAAGCATAAATGCTTAGGGGTGATTGGAGATTCAACAAGACAGCGATCTGAAACATACAAGTCCAGTCGTTCTTGCTGGAGAATGCTCCAACAATCTAGATATAAACCTAGTACAAAATGTGGGATTATTATCTCGATAAATTTGGAAGGTTTATAGCAGAGGTGTGAAAACATATTCCTGAAACACTCATAATTAGCTTGGCAGAAGTCGTTGTGAGCGGATTTTTATCTTTCAAATAAAGTCTTGTTTATGAAAATTGATATCCGAGGGGGTTTTTTTGTTACCCCTGTACGTCAACCTCACATCAATATAAATTGTATTCTAAACGTCAAATTAAACTTCTGCACTTATAACACGTCTCTGCATAATACAATTGAGACCGAAGAAGGTAATGATAAATAAAATAGCATTAGAAAGCATCCATAATTTATTGAATTATGTACAGAAATCAAATGCTGGAATGAAACATTTACAACGTCAAATAAGAACCAAGCAAATCGATTCTCTAAGCCAAGCTAGTTTGCAGAGTTATTTCACATTTTACTGTATAATAACAAACAACGATTTATTAATGTGAATTGTATATAAACACGTGATCCTCGGTTTGTTTATAAGGACCGGCGAATAATGGGAAATAAAACTACAGTAATGCAAGAGACCCGTTTAGAAAACCGCGCATTGAGAATTAAGCTTCGCATCTTTATTATTACTACTATTATCAGGTCCGCTATTTCCAGATAATCGGGTTGGCCTCCGGTAACTATAATGTATGTTCTGACCTGTCATTATCATAGCTTAAATAGCACGAGTTTTACTCTGGCTCGTTGGAATTAGAGGGTACATTTTTGTATTTCTTGAATTTCTCTAACAGAAATATTTTGTACCCATAAGGTATCATGACTAATGCTAGAGCGGTGTCAACAGGTACACGTTCCCTTATTAAGGATTCGAGCTTGACAGATTGTTCCGAGATTATTGCATCGCCTTTCAACTTATGTGAGACAGTCACACTTTGCTTAAACCACATACTGTCAAGGTGCTGCAACAATGAACGGATTAGGTACACAATGTCATTATCAAACACGCATAAAAATGTGGCTTGAATTGATACCTCATACGATCGTTCGACCAAACGATCCTCCTCTGGGCATATCAAAACATCAACATTCTCTGCATTTTGTCACTATCATTTAAAAAAATCTGTAAAAACATAATGAATCTTATCGTCTCCATTAAAAGATACCCTACATCCCAAGAACGTGGATGACTCTTTCATCGCAGACATTAGTTTGGGTTTTTGCCGTATAGCAACCATCTTTTCTCCCATTTTAATAATTGGTAAACTCAATTACCTCAACTCTGGCAATGGAGCATACAAATCAGATATCAAATGCTTTTTTATTTCATGTTCGTCCTCACATGGCCATATTGCATTCGTT